GGATACATGATCTACCAGCACTTTTTAATAAGCCTGAATAGTCTTTTCTCATCAAAACATGATCCCAAATGCAAGTTTTGTATTTTCAGTGAATAAGCACTAGATCAACTGTAAAAACTATAAGCGTTTCTCATTATTTTAGGCAGTTTCACATAGATTTAAAGTTGCATATTTTGAAATACATTTCTTTTTTGCTTTTTGTCCTTCTTCAGTCACTGGGCATCTCTGAGTAACTTAGTTGCCTCTCTGCTGAACTCCATGAAGTCCATTGCCTCCTTGTTACTGCTGCTCTTCCTCTTCATCATCATCTTCAGCCTGCTGGGCATGCAGCTCTTTGGTGGCAAATTCAACTTTGATGAAACAGTGACCAAAAGGAGCAACTTTGACAACTTCCCTCAGGCATTGCTCACTGTCTTTCAGGTGTGTGTGTGTGTGTGTGTGCGTGTGTGTTGGGAGAGTGTGTGTGGCTTCCATACATAGCGACATTAACTAAAAGCTGGTCCAAATGCCAGATGGCATTGTCTGGTCCAAATGCCAGCTGGGTCTGTGATTTGTTTGATACAATATACGATGACTTCTTCTCCATACATGTTTAAGTACAGCACACTCATCATGAAACAGCCTTGTTCATCTAAAATTCATTTTCTATAATTGTACAATAGTGTTCTATTTTTTTAAGCTCACCTACTGGTTTGTTGATGTCGATCGAGTCATTGGTGAAGTTTTGATGCAAGGCATGCATCTCCTGTAGTTAAAGCAAGATTTTGGAAAGATAAACTATTGTTAGCTTGGCATAAACTTAACTACTAATTATAATCAGGTTATGAATTGAATGATAAATAATAAGGTTTCAGAGAGACAGGCCTGGCAGAGGGATTAAGACAAAACGACGGAATGCAGTGCGACGCAGTTGTGCTTAGTTATAGCAGAGAATTGGCTCAGCTGAAGCTCTGAAGCCTGATCTGTTTGAGCAGAGTGTACAGATGAGGAGGTGAGATAGCTGGACAGAATAAGGGACTAAAGCTATGCCGCACCAATCTCTTTAGGTAGAGTAGTGAGAATAAGGATGTCTGACAGTTTTATCCGTGTGGGGACATTTGGGAGAACCTGTGAGGAAAACTGGAGCTTTACGAAAGAAGAAGAAAAAGAAAAAGAAAACTAAACTAAAACAGCCAAAATATTTCCTTTTGGTTTCTGAGGTTAAGGTTGCAGTCAGACTTAGGCGTAGCATAGCGTTAATTAGCTACATTAATAGTTAGGTGAGTGGAAGGTCCTCACAAGGATGCTAAGTCAAACCTGTGTGTGTGCTCAGATCCTGACAGGTGAGGACTGGAACGCAGTGATGTATGATGGGATCATGGCATATGGAGGCCCTTCCTCTTCAGGCATGATGGTGTGCATCTACTTCATCATTCTTTTCATCTGTGGAAACTGTATCCTTCAAATCCTTCCTAGGATGAATATATTGTCTTGTAGCTGTTGTGACAGTGGCAGAATATAATATATATAATAATCGACAACAGGTTGGTGTGATGACGAAGTTGATTATTTTCCAATAACTGCACGGTCCCAAAGTGTTTTATTCCTCTGATCCCACAATTCCGTAATGATTAAAAAAAATAAAAAATTAAAGAATTAAATATATTTAATTCATTTATATTTACCTTTAATGTTGTGGTATAGCCAAGAAAGTTGGTTCACTTGCATTATAGCTGCTGTAAGCTGTTGTTCCCTCTGCCGTCTTTCCTTTCTTTTTTTTCCGGAAAACCTGTCGGAACTTAAAGTTACAGCTTTATCTCTGAATTTAAAAGGCACTGACACTTTAAACTCCTTCCAAACATGCTGAATGAACAACGTCTCACGGAAAACTTCACCATATCAACAATCACACATGGTTTTTAATCTATTTACAGTATGCAAGCATTGGCCATACAAGTACAGTGCTGTGAAAAAGTATTTATGCTGTTCTTGTGTATATCTCATTCTAAATGATTTCAAAACTAAATCTAAGATATAGTAAAGGCAACCAGAGTAAACACAAAATACAGTTTATACACAAAATGCACAACCAGGCCTGATTACTGAAAACCATGTTCAGTCAAATCAACACTTAAATAGAACTTTTCAACTGCATGAAGGTGGTTAAAAGGTCTTACCCAGTAACACACTATGTCAAAGTTGTAAGAAATTCCAGAAATGATGATGAAGAAAGTGATTGAAATACGTCAGTCTGGGAAGGGTTACGAAGCTATTTCAAAGGCTCTGGGTCTCCAAAGAACAACAGTGAGAGCCATTATCTCAAAATGGAAAAAAAAAATCGGGACAGTAATGAACCTTCCTAGAAGTGGCCGACCTTCGAAAATTCGTCCAAGAGCACAGCAATGACTCATCCAGCAAGTCATAAAAGAGCCAAGGACAACATCAGAGGACCTACAGGCCTCTTTTGCATCAATAAAGGTCAATGTTCATGACTCCACTATCAGAAAGACACCGGGCAAAAATGGCATCCATCCAAGTGTGGTGAGGTGAAAACCACTGCTGACCCAGAAGAACATTAAGGATCATTCTGAATTTTGCCAGAACATTCCTTGATGATCCTCGTACCTTTTGGGAGAATATTTTGTGGATTGATGAGTCGAAAGTGGAACTGTTTGGAAGACAGGGGCCCAAGACAAGGGGTCCCTTATATCTGGCATAAACTAAACACTGAATTCCACAAAAAGAACTGGATTGTGCAGCAAGAAAATGATCCGAAGCACAGGAGTAAGTCAACCTCTGAATGGGTCAAAAAAAGTCAAATGAAAGTTTTAGAGTGGTCTAGTCAATGTCCTGACTTGAAGCAATTGGGATGCTATGGCAGGACCTTGCACGGGCAGGTCATGCTTGAAAACTCTTCAATGTGGCTGAATTAAAACAGTTCTGTAAATAAGAGTGGGCCAAAATTTCAAAGTTCCAGTTATCAGAAGCGTTTGGTTGCAGTTATTGCTGCTAAAGGCGGCACAGCCAGATTTTAAGTTCAAGGGGGGAATTAGTTTTTCACATGGGTCATGTGAGGGCTTCAATAAAGAAATATTTGCTTCAATAAAGAAAAATAATACAAAAAACTTTATTGTGTGTATTGTGTTTCTGTGTTGTGTGTTTACTCAGGTTGCCTTTATTTGATGTTGTATTTTGTTTGAAGATCTAAAACCATTTAGTATGAGATGTATAGAAAAACAGAAGAATACTTTTTCAAATAGAGCACACCATCACTGCGGCCTTGAAACTACTGTCTGAGCTGCTGTTATAGTAAACGAATTAGCATTACACAGTGCTGTTATATAAAAAAGAATATGAAATAGACTTTTTCATGTTATAAGTGTAGATGGCATTTTTTTCGGTTTTTATTCTTTGTGACTTGTATGACTTTAGTGCTCCAAGTATATGGTTATTGCTTAATATTCTGTAAAAGTCGCTCTGTACACTGTATTATTTATATCTTCTATATATGACATAACAATATTCACCGTGGTACTAATGTACACCTTTTTAAAAAACAAACAAACAAAAAAAAAGACTAAGTAAGCACTTTTGCTTACATGTTGTGACATGTTTAGTATGTTGTTGTATTTTACTCACAGAATTCACAATCTTTTTTGCTGATTAAATGGGATTTGGCGTTTGTCTCTGTAACTTGCACTTATTTATGATCCTTGACTATTTGCATAAGACATCCTGCTGAATGTATTCTTGGCCATTGCCGTGGACAACCTGGCGGATGCGGAGAGCCTAAACTCGGCACAGAAAGAGCAAGAGGAGGAGAACAAGAGGAAGAAGAGAGCCAGGTAATTGGCACCACAAAGTGAACGTCGGTTTAGATGCTCCTGTACAATGTACAGTGTGACTAATTTACTGAAAAATCTATGTGGTATCCATGTGCAGTCAGGTGAAAACCACACTTCCTAGTTTTCTTTGAGCCACATAAACACATGAAAAAACAAAACAAGCTCTGAAATAGTAGTCCCATCACAGAAAGGGAAAGTCCCATAAATTTAGGCTAAATTTAGGGTTTTACTAAAATACATGCTTTGCATAAGCATTTATTTACATTACATTTATGGCATTTGGCAGACGCCCTTATCCAGAGCGACTTACATTTATCTCATTTACATGAGAAATACATACAGCTGAGCAACTAGGGTTAAGGGCCTTACTCAAGGTCCCTTCATTGGTAGCTTGGCAGTGCTGGGGCTTGAACTCTTGACCTTCTGATCAGTAACCCAGAGCCTTTAACCACTGAGCCACCTATTTACTGCACCAACTGCCTTTAGACATCTATTGAAGGAAGTAAATCTGTTTCCCGTTTTTCTCAGTATTTGGAAATATTGCGTTGAATTTTCTTGTTGATGGTACTCATACACATGCTAACGTTTCTTAGATCGAGATTACGATGAAGAGGTGATGTTTTAATAATTTGAGGTGTCTCTTTCAGAAGGAAAGGTAGCATGGACAAGAAAGAAGAGGATAAAGGAGGTGAAGATGGAGAAACTAAGGTAGTTATATTTGAGACATTATACATGAACGTTCCTTTAAAAAAACGTTCTCGGTGGCCGTCTACACATTTATAATATGCCATGCGTTAATTGTCTCACAGGCTGCATTAGAGGAAGACACAGGGGATGAGGAAAGAGAGGCAGTTAATTGTACAGGTGTGCTTTCGGCTTAAAGGGATATTATTCAGTCTACGCTATAAAGATGGTCAGATATATTTTAAGACATGATCCCTGACTGTATGTGTGTGCATATACAGATGTGGATGATGACCAAGATGTTCCATCAGAACCCCGGCCTCAGAAGCTGTCAGACTTCAGCCTCAAGGAGAAGATTCCACCCATTCCGGAGGGCAGCGCTTTCTTCATCTTCAGCCACACAAATCCGTGAGATGAGCACACAAACACGTACCACATGCATGATCTGAATTTTCACGTTGGTTTTTTTTCTTTCTTTCTTTTCACCGTGGCAGCACGGTGGCGTAGTGGGTAGAACGTTTGCCTCACACCTCCAGGGTTGGGGGTTCGAATCCCACCTCTGCCCTGCATGGAGTTTGCATTTCCAAATTGTCTGTAATATGCATGGGTGTGCGAGTGTATGGGCTGTCCCCCACTTTGTGCCCGAGTTCACCTGCATAATCTTCAGCCTCCCTGCGACGCCCATAAGCTGAATGGGTTTCACAATGATCAGCAATGTTGCAATAAATATTGAACAATGCTTGCCCTGTAGAGAATACAGCACTTGAGTCTCTTCCTATAATGAAGACACTTACTGAGGGGTCATGGTTTACTCTTTCATGCAGAATGCTCCTTTAATTTTTTTCATTTGCTCTTCAGTTCACACCACAAGATTTCAGTAGGGTTCAAATCGTTGCCAAACGATTTTGTGTTTTTTAAACCTGTGTTCTGTGCTGATTTGGAAGTATGTTTAGCTCAATCCTGTTGAAAGCCAAATCTGAACCTCCTAGCAAAGACAGCCATGTTTTGGGCTGAATATCATCCTGCACAAGTGCCTCTTCCACACTACATCTCTAAAGCATCAATAGAGCTTTTCCTTCTATATGGTTCCTTTTTGTAGCCAACATGCTTATGGTACCCATGAGCAAAAAGTTGGATTTTGGTCTCCTCTGAATAGCTCAAATGATGCTTGGTGAAATTCAGGCACTGTATTTTGTGAGATGCTCTCAGGATGTTCTTCTTTCTTGCTGTGCTTCCAAACATCTTAGTTTCAGTTTGGAAACTTGACAACCCTAAGAATCATGTGAATTGTGCAAATGTAATCTTTGGGCTCTTTTGTCCCTCGATCACCGTCCTTCTCACTTTTCTTTCAAGTCAATTATGTGCTCGACAAGTCACCAAGTTAATTGTGCTTGATGGTATTTATGAAGGGTGCCAGTAATTCTGGAGGGTGATGTACATTAGCTGATCTCCATTCGAACATTTCCACAGGTTCCGTGTGGGCTGCTATCGTCTGATCAACCACCAGATCTTCACCAACATTACTCTTGTCTTCATCATGCTTAGCTCCTTCTCACTGGCAGCTGAGGACCCCATTCGAAACCTCTCAGCACGGAACACTGTAAGATCTTTCCTTAAGTACCTTCAGAAACCTTAGCAAAACAATGCGATAAATTAAACCATCTATCTGTAAATTTGAAGATGCTCAGAGCTATTCATTTACTTTATTTCTATTCATGATTTCTCTAACACCATCAAATCTTTCCAAAGCTTCATCTGAAAATACATGGCTTATTAACTTTCTTCATGCAGATGTCTATGTGCAGAGATGAAGGGATAACGAGATGAATGCTATTTTTTATAGATCGATCTATTCATTTAAATCTTGATGACTAGTGTTTAAAAGGAATGGTTTATTGTACGATCAAATTTGCAAAAATTTCCACTCACCCTAAATATAGTTAATCAAATGTGTTGCACACATTTTTTTCTATAGTTTTGTACTGGAGCTCTTGGGCTAATGTATTATTACTATTTAAGTTATGCTATTTTAATAAGCGATTTCGTAAAATAGCAGATAAATTAACCAGTTTAACCACTCTGCCTTCAATATTTGGGGCCTGGGGTGTGTGCTGTCCATATCTCTAGTATAAATGTAACCACCAAGTAGTTACTTATTGTTATGGTTAATACCAAAATACAGTAGGAATTAAACATGAATGCTGCCTTCATAACGTGGGTGTCACTTGACAAATCCATGCCACACTACCAAAGGTCTTCATTGCCAGAATACTAACTAATTTCCAGGTCACCTGTAACTTATATCTTCCACATTTTTTAAAAAAAAATCTCCAGTTGTATCTGGCATCCTGATCTATATCCCATACATAGATCCGGTTGTGTCTGATTCCTTTAAATCCTGTAAGTTGCGAGGTGGGATTGATCTTTTGTTTGTTGTTGGGTTTTTTTTTTTTTTCGTAATTTACATTGGTCAGTTCTGCACATGGATTCGGCTTCTCCACTGGTGTGCAGTTTGTCACGGTTACAGTGTTCAGATACATGGTGACATTTTGTACCTTTCTACAAATTTCAGTTATTGTGTCCTGAACCACATCAGCAGGTCTTTAATCAAGGCTTGTGTTTTGAGGTCAGCGCATGCGTATATTCACTGCCTTGCATAAGTATCCTTGGATGTCAGTGTCCATGTAAGGAGGGAATTAGTCAAAAAGGTACCCAAGAGCTGGAGAGACAGCTCAGATGGGAGAAGCTTTTCATAGTACCAGCCGTTTCCTGGACACTCCACAAAGCTAGGCTTTGCAGAACAATGGCACGCCATCCAAAATCCCATTTGGAGGCATTGTCTTTCATTATTTTCATTAATTGTTATCTACGTTAGCCTCATAGCTCCAGTTAAATATCCATAGTCACGTCTGATTTACTTCATTGGGGGTGAGGAGAGAGTTCTGTAAATTAGACTTGTCACCAATACCCCTTGTTATCTGTGCTTAACTGTCATGTTGCCCTTTCACAGATTCTTGGTTATTTTGACTATGCCTTCACAGCTATCTTTACAGTAGAGATCCTACTGAAGGTAATTGCTTCTCCATGCCTTGACGTTTTGTACTAGCTAAGCATTGTTAATGGTATGACTCTTGCCTCCACAGGTCCTAGGCTATGCTGATTATGTCTTCACTAGTATATTTACCTTTGAGATCGTGTTAAAGGTAAACTCGTTTCTCTGGCATGGGCAGCCTTGCTGCATCACCGTTTTTGTGTCAAGTCGTCTCACAGAGGCCATTGCACTGTTACGTGTTTGTTAGCGTCGCTCCTCTTCATAAGTAAACGAAGATATCTAAAAAGCATTCCTTTTTGGCTTATGGAAAACTATGCTTTATAGTCTTCTTTTTTTTTTTTTTTTCGATCTGTAATTTGCTGCAATGTAGTGGCTTATTACAGTGCAATGTAACTTAACTTTAAAGTCTTTAAACCAACACCATTGCTTAACCCCATAATAATCCTCCATGATCTTTTTCTGGAATATGTGGTAGGTCTAAAACTTTAGCTTCAGGTTTGCCTACTGTGAGATGTTTACTTCGGTGCAAGAGGTTGCATGGTATTCATACCCATAAACGTCATGGTATTCATGCACATGCACGTCATGAAACATTGCATCTGCACTTCTATCTGTAATACAGTGCATCGAAAGTTTAAAAAATGACCTTCTGGAACCAGATTTGGGAATTTTTAGTAGTGTTTATGAAACTTTCCCAGTAGAAGGTTTCCAGATTGAATGGACTGATTTGGCATCTTGTACTAAATGAATGTATCTTGTGTTTTGTCTGTTTTTAACAATGCCAGTCCCATATTGTTATCAAAAAAGTGCATGTTTATCAGAAGAAACTATAGTGCCCCAGGTAGACTGTTTGAAAACGCTGTCTGGTTGGGCTTTTTTGTTTGGTTGATGTCTGTACAATGTTGCCTGCTGCGGTTAGTGGATAGTAGAATGTTGTGCACATCAAATGTAAAGCCCTCTTTGTTTGACTTGGAGACAGTGTTACGTTGTTTAATTGTTTTTGTACTGTGCTGACAGTGGTGTTTTGTGTGGTGGAGTTCAGAGGGATTGAAAGTCATTTCATGCATCCTAAGGCACAATATGTTGTAAAACTAGGAATGTGTATAAAGAGAGTATAAATCACAGTTATGATTGCCCTAGTCTCTTCCTCTTATTCTTCTTCTTCTTCTTCTTTAATCATTTCCATGCATATGTCATTGAATTCCTTATTTCAACCACCAATTAACATGCTGACATTATAAGAAAGACGTATAATGTCAAAAACCACATCTTTTTATTTTTATTATTATGGATCATTCATAAACCTGGTAGTCTTATTTTTGTACTCTGAATTACTTTCATTTACAAAACGACTAGAAGTGTCAGTCAGTATATTACAACCCCAATTCCAAATTGACACTGTGTAAAATGCAAATAAAAACAGAATGCAATGATTGGCAAATCTCTTAAACCCATATGTTATTCACAATAGAACATCGGAAACATACCAAATATTTAAACTGAGTAAATGTGCCATTTTAAGAGAAAAAAAAAAGGTAATTTTGAATTCGATGACCGCAACACATCTGAAAAAAGTTGGGACGGGGCAACAAACGGCTGGAAAAGTAAGAGTTACTAAAAAGAAACAGCTGGAGGTTAATTGGCAACGGGTAAGTAGCATGATTGGGTGTAAAAAGAGTATCTTAGAGAGGCTTTCAGTCTGAAAATCTGAAATTTGAAATTCATTTTGGAAACCACGGACGCCACATCCTCTAATCTAAAGAGGACTAAAGAGGAGAGGGACCATCCGGCTTTTTATCAGTGCTCAGTTCAAAAGCCTGCATCTCTGGTGGTATGGGGTGCATTAGTTCCTATGGAATGGGCAGCTTGCACATCTGGAAAGGCATCATCAATGCATCATTCAGATTTCATCCATTTTTACTTCTGAGAGACTCTGCCTCTCTAAAATACTCTTTTTTTTTTATACCCAATCATGTTATTGACCTGTTGCCAATTAACCTAATTATTTGAAAATGTTCCTCCAGCTGTTTCGTTTTAGTAACACTTACTTTTCCAGCCTTTTGTTGCCCCCGTCCCAACTTTTTGGAGACACGTTTGCAGCTATCAAATTCAAAATGACCTTATTTTTTCCTTAAAGTGGTACATTTCCCCAGTTTAAACATTTGATATGTTTTCTATGTTCTATTGTGAATAACACATGGGTTTGTGAGATTTGCAAATCATTGCATTTTGTTTTTATTTACATTTATGTACATTTTACACAACGCCCCAACCTTTTTGGAATTGGGGTTGTATATCTGAATATAAACTACAGCAGAACAGAAATGTTCAGTAGAAATGTAGAAATGTTCAGAAATTTCAATAGAAATGAAACTTTAAAAAAAATAATAAACTACAGCAGTGATATATTTAATTGTATTATTCAAGTGATACTCCTTTAGAGAACTTAATGTACTTATCCATAATGGAAAATTCCAGCCTTTTTTTTTTCAACCTAGTCTCTGTCTACCACA